TTTCCATGCTCTACAAAACAGCAATCTGATATCTGTTTACTATGTCATTCACTGTTGATAAAATTAGAAAGAGTAACAGTATCTTATGTGTGATAAAGAGATCACCCATCAGAAATGTTGTCGTTGACTTTAATTAGTGCTTACTCCTTAAATCTAACTTTCTCTTTTCCATAGGAGATTTCATTTAGGAACACCTTTCAACTTGTCTGAACAGACATGCGAATGACAGCTCCATCTTCCATGTTGGTTTGAAGTGTATCATCACAACTGGACAGTCATTCCCTTCTCATCATTATCAAAGAAAAATGTTAGCATAACTTAATTCTAGGACAAAAGACTATGAAAATATTGTTGCAACTAATTTTAACACATGTTGAAAAACAAGCCATGAATCAGAAAAAAATCAGGTAAAATTTATCTCATTAGATCATAGTTATAACATGGAAATTTGAGCCTGACATTTCAATTATTATCCAAGGATGGGATCAACCTTACACACACAGGAGGAATACATTGGTTTTATCAGACTTTTAGAACATGTACAATTAGGTGTATCAGGTTTCATACTGAATATATCTAAATCAAAAATGAATAGGATACACTGCCTTTGAGAACTCACATTCTAATGTGTGATAGAAACAAATAACTCAGTTAAACGTGAGTTTTATGATAGAAAGCATAAAACAATCCTGGATTCAGGTGAGTACAACCAAGATACCACTGGAGAGAGGGCAATGGTGTGGTAGATGGGAGTGATGCGTGGTGAGGAGGGCAGAGAGCAATAAAAGTTATCATCCACTTAAAATAAACCTACAAACCCACATTCCAAAGGAATTTCAGAGGAAAAGGGGAAGGGTTTACAGGAACAAGTATAAAGGACACACGGACAAAAACTAAGGGGGTGGAAATGGGAGGGAGCTGGGGAGCACTGGGGGAGTGGGCTGGGATGGGAGTAAAAGACAGAAAACTGTACTTGAACAATAATTAAATAAATAAACTTTAAAAATAAAAAATAAAAACTTCTAATAGAAAAAAATAAAAGAAATAAATAAAATAAATCTAATGGTAAGAAAGACAACCAACAGATAAACAATAGTGTTAGAAGGCATCTAATAAAAATTTCATAGTGACCACATTAAAGATGGTCAAAGAAACAAATGAAGGAATATTGGGGGGGCATAACAACTTAATAAAGGTGAATTGGGAAGATGTAGTTTAAAAAAATACTTATAAATACTATAAAAATGATGTCAGTGAAATTTAAAAAAATATCAATAGGATAAACTTTCAATTAAAAATACTTCAGCAGAGAAGTAGTGAACTGATCATTTAAATGTAGTACATACATGATAAATTAAAGACTATTTGTACAAGATATTTAAATTTATACATACATTTGTGCTTGAAACATGAAACCAATATAGGAAGACACCAATGTATCATAATAGGAGATCAAGAAATATAGAGCAGGAGGGATGATGGGCATGGTGTAGATTAAATTATTGTGCAGCAAATACTTACTCCCCTCATACTTCAAACTATTTATGGTAGTTGTATGTGCCCCTACTCCATTAATGTTAGTTCTAGGTATATTATATGTTTGGCAATTGGAATATAGGGAGATGTGACAGTTCCCAGCCTAGACATAAACGTCATTAAATATTTTCAAAAACTCCTCTGGGAGTTTCCATCCAGCCATAGTAAAAGACATGTACTCGGTAGCTGTCTGCCCTCCAAGCCATCAGAGGCACATGAAACCGACCAAAACCAAATTCATGGCCTGGAGCCATATCTAGATCACCCAAATCTTACCCAATCTGTAGACCTGCCCTGGAAGAGCCTTTTCAGCTAATTTGCAATGTGTAAGCACATTTATTGCTTATATCAACTGATATAAGAAATATATGCTTACTGTGTGTGTTTATGATCAATTATTGTGAAAAGATCTAATTAATATAGTATAAAAGCAACATTTGAAGGAAAATAACATATTTTTCCAAAACAAAATAGAAAATAAGCTCTCAGGTTAAATATGTATTCTTAATACAGTACAGAATTAATGAAGTAAGTTCTACACTTGGACAAATTCAATGAAACTGCAGAAGGTACTTTTAAAAAACTTAGTTCATTGCAACATTATTTACAATTGCAAGATATGGAAGTGGCCCAATTGTCCACTGGTAGATGAGTGAATAAAACAATCGTGGTACATTTACACAATGGAATACTACACAGTCGTGAAAAGGAAGAAGATTTTACTCTTTACCACAGTAGGGGTGGACCTGGAGAACATTATGCTAAAAGAAATTAGCCAGTCAGAGAAAGACAGATACCATATGGTTTCACATATATGTGGAATCTAATAAAAACAATAATAACAACAGAACAAACAAGCCAAATAGAAGCAAACTTGTAGATAGAGAGCAGGGTGACAGCTAGGGAGTGGCAGAGGTTAGGGGTAGAGGGATTGAGCAAGAAGGAAAAAGGGCTTAAGGAGACGGACAACAGTGTGGTGATTGCAGCAGGAGGGGAGTATAAGGGGACTAGATGGTAATGGAAAATATAATTAAAATTAAAAAAAATAAAATAAAAATAAAAACCCCAGAGTTGAGTATCTATGGTAATAAAACTAAGAATATCCACTTGAAAAATAAACAAATAAAATAAGAAAACTACAATATATTTTTTTAGAAGGAAGGAGGAAGGTCTAGACAAGAAGTAAAGAAATGTGGTTATATTGAAATCACAGAATAAGATAAGAGAAAAAGACTGAAATGTATGATTAGTTTCAGCAAATGTTAATGGATTAAGCCCACATTTTTAAAAGTATGTGTTTTGTGTAAAATTAGAGAAATAATACAGCTAAAGGGTGCTTATAAGTGATTTCTAAAATGAAATACACAGTGAGTTGAAAATAAAGACATGCAAAATGAAGTAACTTGTGAGTACTTATAAAAAAGCAAATTAACATTAGGTCTATTATAATCTAGAGCAAAAATAAAGTACTGGTGCTGATAAAGAAGATAAAAGCAAAGACCTATAGAGAAGATATTACAGTCATTATTTTTATGCACACAGCTTCAAATATTAAAAATTGATAGAATTAGATGGTACACTCACTCTGCATGGCGTAGAAACTGGTGGGTCAGCAGTAACATTGGTAAGTGGATAGACTATTTGCTTAACAGAATTAAATGACATAATCTAATGGACCCATGTAATGATTGTATGCAATAAATAAAGAATATTTATTATTCTCAAATGTATAGGAAGCCAATGAGAGGACATGATTACTGTGTGTCCCAGGAGCTGGACCTGGGCCAGAATGGAGCTTGCTTTTTGCAAACCGCCTTTCCAGACTGTCTGATCAGAATTGACGATCATTCTGATGTAAATCAACACCACTCTCTTGCTTTCTGCTATGTTCTGGTTCCTGGAGCAGATTATTATCTTAACTTGGTCAACCATGTAATTTTCATACCTGATGACATTCATGTACTAGTACCCATGACTATTCCCTCCACTCCCACTCAGGACCCTTTACTAATTCTTTGGCACCTGCCAAGCTGTATGGGGATCTACTTCATCTTGTAGCCACCTAAGACATGACTTATATGTAAGTTTTTCATAATAAACTCTATTAACCACCAGACTATAGTGTCTAGTCTCTTTCTTACAGGGGTAGATTTTTAGTCTTGGGGCTTTTCCCTGGTCTGAGAGTACTAACAACCATTTTTAAAAACTATTTCAAAGAATGAATTGAAATTACACATTCTCTCTTGACAACACAGTACAATTAATTTATAAATCATTAACGAAATGATAGTTCAAAAATTATACATTTGGAAGAATAAGAGCATCCTTAAATAATTTAAATGTTTAAAAATGTCATAATGGCAGTTACAAAATATTCTGAAATAAATAACTAAAAATAATCCTAAAGAAAGTACAAAGAAGAAGAATAAAATTAAGACAGAAAATCATGAAATATACAACCAAGAAACAAAAGAAAGGACCAAATAGTTCTTGAACTAATTTAATAAAAAAAATTGCTCACAAAACTAATCAAGAAATAAAGAAAAGACAAAAATAAACAATGTTAGCAACATAAAGGAGCCATAATCAGGTAGAGTAGATGTTTAAAGACAGTCACAATGGCACACTAAAATAAACGCTTTGAATACATTAAAACCTAGCTGACGTGAGTAATTTTTTAATAATGCTACGTTACCAAAATTGATTTAAGCTGGTTGAACCAACAGCCACCAAATAAATTGAAAGAGCAATTGAGAATTCCCTCAATGTAAAAAGGAGCCACATTTGATCTACAGGTAAACTAAGTCTATGGAGTGGCAGAATAATTTATACAAGAAATATTACTAAAATTGGAATAGAAAATTAGCTTTTTTATCAATACATAATATTGATATAATGTGACAAAGTCATGTAACTTTCCCCATATGCATGATTTCCATGTCTTATATTATTCTCACTGGAATTTCTAACACATCGTCCGTCAAGTTCTACAGAGTATGTCTCTTCTCATGAAGACTTCAATGTTTTGTATTCTCCATTGTTCTCTATGACCCTGTGACTCTGTCTTGCATCAGTGTATTTGTGGGTATGCCCAACCCCCCCAGCTGGCCTGCATTGCAGCCTGTCTGTTGTGTCCCATATAGAGCCCAGCATAGCCTTTTATCCCAGACTGTATGATTATATCCAGTGGTGAGAGGATGTGTGGCTATTGCCTCCTTCTCTGCAGAAAGCAGCAGTCATAACTGCTTTATGACTTTTGCACTTGCCCCCTTGCAGAGGGCAAGTGCAAAACAACATCTGGGCCAAGCCCAACTCTGCTGTAGGCAGCCCTACTTGGCACATTGACATGACCGAGAGCAAGCAGAAGGAGAGCTTCTCTTTGCTGCCACTGGCTGGCTGTGTGCCCATTGTGCCTCTTCGCTCCACCTCAGGTTTCAGCTTTCTAAATATAAGGTGTGCTCAGGGGCCCCAGACCACATTCAATGTCACCACACAGTCTTCTGGAGATAAACTGTATTGGGGCAATACAGTTTATCCTCAACCACTACAAATTGATTGTGTCAAATTATTCATTTTCCGAAGAAACTATAGAATCATCTTCATTTTAGAAGAACAAATTAAAGAGAAGAAATAGGTGAGTGACTATATCATGGTTGTATTAATTTTTTTCTCTGACCTTTAGGTTTGTTTCAGATGAAATAAGTTATGGGTATTATTTGCAGTTGAATACATACCCTTTTTCTCTATTTTTCAAATACATACACTCATTGATTGCATTTTTCTTTACTACAGCATACTTGATTATAATTTTGTGTAAACTTCATTTATTTTTATCAGATATATATATCACATGATATTGAATTATGTTGCTTTTCAATAAATATTAATGTAGAAAAAACAAAAAGGAAACTCCCTATTATTAATATCAACCGCTCTTTTCCAGACACTATTTCTCAGACTGCTCTTCTCAGTCTTTCTGGTGTTTGTTCACGGGGAAAGCAATGGCATCAGTACCTTCCATTGGTTGCCTTCTGGCCAAAAATCAGTATTATCGAAGTAAGTCATATCATTGCCAGTGGTTACCCCTAGAGAATACGATCTGAGGTGATGTCTGTAGGATATTAGTAACCTTCATATTGTGTCTTAGTCAGAACTGAAGTTACAAGGCTGACAACTGTTTGCAATAGTGAGAGAAATAGGAATAGAATTCATCAGAGTCCTCTCCAAATTAGTATTATCAAGGGAGGCTTATTTCTTCATTTTAACTATGTTACATTGTATCTATGAAACCATAAATACTTATAAATAAGTGAAAATCAGAATTATATTTAATTTCAATACCTTGCATTTAATAGAATACCTTAAAATGAATACTTTTATAAAAACAAAATATTATTCATTTCTTAGAAAAGAAGGAATGGCATGACTGTGCTTCAGGGATTTTCTAATTTCCACTTTGCTGCTATGGATAATAGGTTAGCATCTATCCTGCCAGTTTTATTTTTATGCATTTATGAGTATTTATAACTCAACAGAAAATTGTAGCTTCTTTAAGAAAACTCAGAAATTTCATTAAATAAAATAATTGTATTAAAATCAAATTATCATTTATTGAAAATATGCCAGAAATATATAAAGAAAACCCTCTTATTTTTAGATGCTTCCAAGCCTGTGTTGGAAACATCTATTAACACTTTTTATAACAAGGCTAAACTATGCCTGTTTACTTAGTGTTATTACATCCCCACATAAGTTATTTTTATATGCTGATCTTTTAAAAGGTTTATAGGTTTCAAATGCAAGTATGATAGCACAAATAAACTTTATATTTTTAAAAATAATTTTGTATTTCTAAATTTGATAGTTTTTGTATGCTACTTAAATATATACGGTAAAATAATATTCATTATTTACTTCCTAAAGTTTTTAATTTGACAACATTTATTACATTTTAAATTTTATATCTATACCCAAGGAGAAGATAGGGAATGTCTGCCATGGAAAGAAATATAATATATTAGTAAAAAATTGAAATATGTCTTATTATTCCAGAAGACTTTTAAATTAATTTATTATTTAATTTTAATTCATAAATGTATGAGCTAGAAGTAAATAATTTTAAGTCATACTATGTGAGAGTTTAGAGGTAAATATATATATGTGTTTGCTTGTTATGTATTTGTTTATTTATTTTTGTTTCTGTTGTAGAGGCCAGTATCTCTTCAGTCAGCTCTGACTCTGTTAATTTCATAGATGAAGACAAATCCCTGCGAGGTATTTAATTTGTTTCTTATCAGTATCACCCTCATTGTCTTTATTTGCTTTTTAATCTCTCAAATGTGTTCTATAAGGAAGTAATATAAATTTTGTTTGATAGGGTTCCCTGAAGTGGCAGAACCCAACTGGTGGTTTAAATCCTTCTTTTATTCTGAACCTGTACTTCCAAATGTAATAAGAAAAGATCTGCCTGCTAGTGGGTATGTTTCAGCCTCTTCTGTGAAGGATATTTCTTATTTAGTGAATGAAACTTTGCATGTAGTAATTATTAACCAATGAGGATAAAAGCGTTGTTTCCGGAGGGTGGTGAAAACTTTGATATAAAGCATACCTGTGGGATGGAGAGGGAGAAGGCCCTGCTCCCCACTCCAGTTAAACATCAGTCAGATCAGAAGCACTGTGTCTCATTCCACTGAAGAGTGATGGAAAAATCATATGCCATGTGGTGATCTTTACTGTTGTTTAGGGGAGATAGATTGGGGATCAGAGGCAAGGTTCTAAATGTGTTTTTTTTTAATTATTTCAGGAAACAAATATATAGTTACTGTCCCTAATAACCTAAATTAGTCCCACTGTTACTTTTTAAAAACATTTTTGTTTTTTAGACAATAGCTGATACTAACATTGATGACCAGTCACTAAATAGAATTAAAAAAATAATAAAGAGGGCTGGGGTGGGGAAAAAGGCAGAAAAATGTATTTGAGCAACAATAAAATTTTAAAAAATGAATAATGATGGCGTTTGTAGGCTCTAATGTAAAAACAAGGTTTTGATTAGTTCCAATATAATAAATTTAAAATGGAATCAATTAAATATTGATAATGTTTAAAACCAAAGACAGACAAGTTTTTGAAAACATATATTTTTTACTCACTTTATCAAGTATATTGATCTGAATTATCTACGTATTTTACTTATTTTCTATGGGAGCAACTTCTTGTAAGTCTCCCTGAGTGCCAAGGACAGGAATATGAATATGGCCAAGACATGGTGGGGATCTGCTTGGGGAGGAGAGAAGTGGGCTGTGGCCAGTTTCTCAGGGGAGACCAAGGCCAGCAGCGGCCAGTTTCTCTGAGGAGAAAAGGCCCAGAGCGCCCTCCTCCATAGCCTTTTATTGGGTTGTAATACACAGGAATACAGGGCGGCAAGGATAAAACAATAGATGACATTTCAAAGAAATCTGAGGGCTTCAGAGTCTGAGTCAGTGTCTGTCAGGAAGAGAGTTGCAGAAACTTTGGGAGACATACTCTTTTCCTCTTGAACCCTTAACATATGAATGAAAGCACTCTTAGCAGAGCAGATTTCACAGGCTTATCAGGAAGTCTTTCTGATGCCAGATTTGTCCCCAGGACTCGCTCTAGCAAGGCAAGGAGCTGCACCCTCCCAATTAGGTATTCAGGCTTGAGGAGATTAGAGCCAGGAAGCACTTCTCCCAGCAGAGGTCGTGGGGACTTGGGCCATCTCAAAGCCGGGGGGTGAGAATCCATTGCTCCTTATTACAGCCCCCTGAGTCCTTCCATGAAGGCCTCCCAAGTGATTGAGTCTGGCTTAGGTTGCCCCCTGCTGTGAGGGGTCTTACCTGTCATTGACTTCTGACCAAGCTCTGGGGGCAGGGAGAGGAACTGAGGCAGCATTTGTTACCAGAGACAAGCTTTGTCTCCTGCGCTCGCATTCCAAAGGTCGTCTCTCGCCCTTAGCCACAAGGGGTAGAGATACGATTTCTAAAATCAGGCAGAGCAGTCTACAAAAATTTTCCACTTTGACTCTACAGATAGCCTGACTTACAGATAAGTATTTCTCAGTTAATCCTCTTTGTGTTGCAATTCAATGAACATGGTTGTAACAACTGTCTGTTTTATACAGGACCAATTGCTGATTGTGACAAAGTGACTCTACCTGCTGAGGTGCTACCCATGGGAACAATACCCTCCAGCACACCGGCTGTTCCAGACGACTCTTCTCCATTGTAAAAAGACAAAAAACCTGCCTGAGATCTCAGCAGCCACTCTTAAAATGCAGGCATTTTCTTCACTATTAAAACCATGACTAAGTGTCATCAGCTTCACGGAACATATTGGAAAAACATGATTTTAGAAATATGTGTCCTTGTAAAGTAATGAGTATTCAAATGTAGTAGACTTTTTATTATTCATATTATATTTTCAAAACAAATAAAAAATAATTTTTCATTTTCAAAAAATTTATTAGACTCTCTTTGTGTTTGTTGAATGATTTATTGCATTATACCTTAAAACCAAAGCATTAACATGTAACAATGGTTTAGAGGCCACTGAATTCAAACATGTAGAAGAGGGGCAAAATTTTTTTAAATGATGAACATTGGAAATAGCAAACATACCCAAAGTGCATTACTGTTACTGAACAGAGGTCCAAGAGGGTGGGCAATATTTGGGCCACCGAGGGGTGTCAAAAACTGCTACAGAAAACAGGGCCTCCTCCCAAGGACGGTATACTAATACCTACTGGACTCATCTGTCCGCCGCCAATTGGAAAGACATCTCCCAATGCCAGAAATTTATGAAAAGGAAAGGACATATTTATTTAATGCTATACAGACTTAAAGTAGTAACCTAACGTCTTCATTAAAATAACGAAGTCCTTTAGGATACCCACAGATGCCCACAGCACTTCCTTCTCCCCCTGCCCTAATTCAGGGCACTGTATCTCAGGAAAAGAAGCACATATCTGTGTTTCAGGCCGCTGGCACCATCAGCTATGTCGAAGTCCAGACAGGATCTCCAATTAATCCAAAGTCATGTGGCACCTTCTCATGGTCCACTGGCAAGAGTTCTTTGTATCCATTTTTCCAGGCAAAGTCTCTCCTACTTCCCAGGCCACGTGGCCAAAGGGAGCACCCCAAAGCTGCGTGGGCCTCTTCTTCCAAAGCTGCAGGGGTCAGCACTCTGACCAAAAGTGTGTGGTTTTCTTCTTCACTTGGCTGCAAGTGTCCCCATTCTGGCAAAGCTGCGTGGTTTTCCCTTTCACCTGGCTGCAGGGGTCTGCATTCTTACAAAACAGCATGGCTCTCCCTCCAATGGCTGCCGAGTCTGGGTTTAAATTCTCACGCCAGTCCTCCTTTGCAGCCTTATTTCTGACTCTTTCCACAATCAGTTACACCTGCCAGTATTGCTGTATTATTACAAGTTTACTGGGCTGCCATCATTAGTCTGGGCAGGTATGGCCCCGTGACGTGGAGCCAATCAACTCCAAGCTCTCAGGAAGGCGCTGTAACTCCGGGGACCTGCCCTCTAGTTACGTCTTGGGTGGAAGTCACTTTCATCCCCCTGGCTCAGAGCATGGCCACAGCTATTTAACATTTCTATGAAACCTGTTATAGGTTATAGATATGTTAAATGACCATTCCAGAAGTTAGCTGAGAAACTGTTGCTATGCAAAACAGCTCTCAATGGCCCTACTCCATTTGTCCCTTTCCCCTGGGGGTGTTGTGAGGACATCTTAATATTTCCTAGACACCCTGAGCTCTGGACCCCATTCCAAATTCTTTTTTGGGTGGACCCCCCTCCTGGCTGCACCCTGTTACATTACTTGTTAATTATATTACTGCACATTTAACAAACTGACTGTTGTGTACATTATTAAATTTATAATTCTATCAATATTTCACAACACAGAAAATTGATGGTACAAAGTCAAATTTAAAAAGTAGGATAATCTATACATGGTATGATTTTAATTGTGTTAAAAAGATATATATGCCTAATATTGAAAGACAACATTAACAAAATATGAACAGTGGCTATTTTTAGAGTTAAAATTATGGGTGGTTTCCATTTTCTCCTTTATATTTTTCTGTATCTTCTCAAATTTTCTAATAAAACCAGTTTTTGTGTATAATTTAAAAATAATAAAATGTATTTAAAAGGAGCACTAGAATAAATCACCTGAATGTGAATAAATTCTATATTAGTCTCAGCATTTCCTGCTTTCCTCAATATTGGATAGAGAATATTTAATGAGTCTGAATATAAAAGTTTGTATATACTGCTTGCAAATATTTTTTAGTGTAAGATGATAAATGTTAAGAAATTAGGGATGATGTACTCTCCCAGAGGTACATAAGCACTACGGTGTTTTGTGGCTGATGCTGCATTAAACATCCTCTAGACTCAGCACACATGATTGTTTATTATCCAGCTGTCTTCTTATCACACTACATAACCATGATATAATATCAAGACTATTCCCAGCAATGTACACTACTGACCTTTTATTACTCTTTCTAAATGGGAAATGCATCGCTTCAATTTTGTGACCTTCTATCACTTTGCAGTCAATGAAGGTGACTCAAATATCATGTTAGCCCAGAAGCATATCATTATTTACATATTATTGCCCTTTATGGTTGCTTGAATTCATAATTTTTATATATGTTAGAGGTCAGTTAAAGTTTTAGACTATATATTTCACTTGGCTTTAGTCTAAGATTAAATTACACTAATTGAACACTGATTTTTCCTAGAGTGAGGGAAAAATATGGTAAAACAAAATTGTAAATTTTGGGACAATTTGTTTTTACTTTTGATACAGGGTGCAGCGAGGGGGGCCCCCAAAAAAAACAGATTTGGAATGGTGTCCAGAATTCAAAGTGTATAGGAATATTGGAGAGACATATAAGATGTCCTCACTGCCCCCCCCCAGGGGGAAGGGACCAATAGAGCAGGGCCATTGAGAGCTGTTTTGCATAGCAACAGTTTTGCAGCTAACCTCTGGAATGGTTATTTAACATATCTATAACCTTTAACTGGTTTCATAGATATGTTAAATAGCAGTGGCCAAGTTTGGAGGCAGGAAGAAGGAACTAGCAGAGACTCTGAATGGAACTAGGAGCTGCGCTCCTGAGGGAGAAGGATGGAACTAGGGGACTCAAGATGGGAACTAAGGGCTGCTCTCCGAAGGGAGAAGGGCTTGGACTCAGAATGTAACTAGGGGCTGCACTCCTGAGTGAGGAGGGACTCAAGATGGAAACTAGGGGCTGCGCTCCTGAGCGAGATGGCCTGGGTGAGAGCTTGGAAAAGACTGGCTCCGAGACATGAAGGGTCCCCGCTGGCCAGAGAGAGAGAGCCACGCGGTTTCAGCAGAGTGAGGACCCCCTCTTGGTGAGGTGAAAGAGGGAGCCACGTGGTTTTGGCAGGGTGCGGACCCCCTCTTTCCCAGGTGAAAGGGAAGAACCACGAAGCTTTGCCAGAATGGAGATCCCTGCAGCCAGGTGAAGAAGAAAGTCACATGCTTTTGGGGGAGTGCGGACTCCTGCAGCTTTGGTAGAAGAGGCCCACGCGGCTTTGGGGTGCCCCCTTTGGCCGCGTGGCCTGAAAAAGCAAGAGAGACTTTGACTGGAACTGGGTACAAAGGACTCTTGCCAGTGGACCGTGAGAGGGTACCACAGTACTTTGGATTAACTCGAGATCCTGCCGGCACGGTGACACAGCTGACGGTGCCAGCGGCCTGAAAAAGGGACGTGTGCTCTTTTCCTGATTTACGGTACCCGGAGTTGGGACAGTGGGAGAAGGGAGCGCTGTGTGGGTGTAGGTGTACAACCTAAAGGACTTTGATATTTTAGTGGTGGCATTAGGCCTGAATAGCATTAAATAAACATTTTGTTTCCTTTTCACAAATCTCTGGCATTGGGAGATGTCTTTCCAATTGGCGGCGGACAGAAGGGCCCAGTAGATTTTAGTATTTTGTTTTTGGGAGGGGCCCCTGTTGTAGAGCAGTTTTGGGCATCCCTAGGTGGGCCAAATATTGTATTGCCCCTCCCTCGGACCTCCTCTTGTTGTTCGGTAACACTTTCAGATTATCAACAAGTTCCTTTTTACTTAACAGCTTGGTGTATGTGGGAACAGATTGTTTAGATTATTTGATAAATTACACAAAAGTGTCAAAAATTGTTCCTTTTACATTAGTTTAGAATAGTGTTACTATTGCTAAAAGTTACTGTTTAAAGTAGTTGATTTGTACAAAGTTTTTCAAAATCAAATATATTATCATGACCATATATAGTTATTAAGCATATTTAGATTTGTAAGGATAATTATTTCAATTGATGATAATATAAGGAATTTTCCTGAAATATAATGTTAAGGTGATTTTTTAGAAAATGATTTAAAAATAAAAAGTATGCTATCCCAGAGATTCTACAAAAATTAAAATGATAAAAATAAATAAAGAGAACAAAATGACTTCTAGGTAAATTCCAGTTAATTGCTTCTAGTATAGTTTTCCTACAATCTTCATCAGAAAAATATCCAATATAATGAACTAAATTAGATTTTTCGTTATAGGTTCTCATAGCCCATGTTTCTCTCCTTCCTAGCACTTATCACAATTATAATTTATGTTTGGCTAGCTACTTGTTTTCACCATTGCACTATAAAATACACAAGGGAAAGGATCATGTTCGCTCCATCATCAGTTTTTACACAGATACAGACACATCAACAAGTACTTGTCAAATGAAGGACAATGGTTCTTTAGGAAGAACTGGCCCTTCTCTTAAGAAGTGCTACATTTCAGTAAAGAAGAGTAAGTAATAAATTACTAAAAAATATTTTTCAAATAGTGATAAATACTCTAAAGTAAACAAAACAAGGTATATTATTGAAGAGTGATTGGGATAGGACAGAGGTTAAGGGAAGGCTGCTATAACAGGTGTAATTAGGAAAGGACTCATTGAGAAAATGACATCGGAACTGAGTTCTGGAAGAGGAGGAGCAGCCAATTTAGGGAAAAGTACTCTATGCAGAAAAATATAAGCAGTGTAATTTGCCATGCTTTACACAAGTCTGTTCAGTCTCCTACTACACTGTGGTGAAGTTGTTGCAGACCCTGGCTCATGGGGTCCATGGTGTTGTAGCTGAAACAAAAGAAATTCACATGGACTGCTGAGTCCTGTGGAGAAAAGGGGCAGGCGGCTTCTCTCTCAAGGGGAGCGAAAACCTTGGCCCTTGCTTCATTGAGCTTTTATTGTCTTTCTGGTCACATTGCATGAAGGTCCTCATTAACTATGCACAGGTTGCTTTAGGTGATTACCTTTTACAGCAAACAAAGGAGAGGATGCTGGTAATCACATCACAGAAGAGGGATATTTGCAAATGAAAAGGCAAAAGTCATTGAACCAGTTACAATCAATCCTGGAAGACTTAGCATGGACTTTAGGAAGTTAC